GAGGCAGGAACTGAAGAGGTCTAAATGTTTCAGAACGCTGTGTGGTCCTTAGCTGGGAGATGGCACATTGAGGGCATTAAGTTCTAGGAGGAATTCACTTAAAATCATTTCATGATGCTTTATGATATTTCTTTCTTAACTAAGTTTAATTTATAGGCTAAGCTGGGTTCTCACACCTCAATTCCTCCCTTTGCTCTGATTTTCCAACAACTATAGACAGCTTAAAGTACCTTCATATTCTCTGACTCTACAACATCACACTTGCTCCCATAGGAAATCTCATCTCATCACTAACTCTGCTCACTCTGCTCTGTGCCGTTACATGAAGTTGATGTAGGTCTTCTACCCTTTACCTACTTTCAGCAACATCTGAGGTGGCACGTGTCTGTCCTGGGAGCTCCACCCATTCTGCAGGGACTAGGCAGGAGGGACAAAGGTCCAGGCCCCCAGGGCTTTGATGCACAGGGACCAGGCTCCGTCCAGAAGTGGGGGTCAATGCTGCTTCCCATGTGCAGCTTCCAAGTGGATTCACGTGCCCACAGGCCTCTGCTGTCTCCACACTTGTCCTTCCTCCATTTCCTGGGATCCTCTGACTTTGCAATAGCATTCCTTCACATACCTTGGCACACGTCCACTACCTTCCATTTTCTCAGACCGCAGTTTTAATTTTCATGTTTGCATCTGTTTGCACCTAAAAGTCCCAGTAACTTCTCACCTTCCCCCTGAAACACCAAACTGTTCCTCCATACAGGAGAAAGAAATGAAATTTCTGTTCTTAGAAACACACACCTAAACTCCTACTTCTCCTTGTTAACGTAATATCCTTATTACAATAATATTCATATATATGATATAAATTTCCAGGAGATCTTAGCACTCAGGCAAAAGTATCCACCCCACACAGATACTCCACAAATCATACTATTACCATCCTCTATCCCAAACTGCATTTAATCTAGCCATTTCTTCTACAGCCTGTGTTACATGTTCTAAATTGCTCCACCTGAGAGAGGAGGAGTAACCATGGGGAAGCCTAGTGACTGGGTCTGACTCTAGCCAACTCCTGCCATTACACAAGGCCATCTGGCATAAAGTGACCAGGAATCTTCTCCCTCAATAATGGCTTGTATCTCATGGGTGATTCCTTTACAGGGTTGTGTGTTGGCCAAAGAGACACAATAGTTGGTGTTTTTTTTTTTCTTATTTAAATGTTACTTGTTTTTTCATCCCAAATTCCCCATCCTTTCCTTCTCCTCTAAATGGAATGTCAGGTGAGTATGTCCTCTGACCTGAGCTCTACTTCTTTCCAGGGTTGCTTTCCAAGCCTTCTCTCAGTGCCTTCCCCAGTTGGATGGTATCTCCCAAGAGTAATGTGATTCTGATGTGCTCTACTCTTATCAGGAAGGTAAAATTTGTTTTCAGAAAGGAAGGAAAGCCACTCTTGGATCCCATGCCGCTAACCAGTTCTACAGGGATCCAGGTTAAAATCTACCTCTTTAACCTGAGTCACTGATGCTGGGAAGTACACCTGCAAATACTCCATGGAAAAGGCCCCTTTCAGAAGCTCTCCAGCCAGTGATACTTCTCTATTGGTGGTTACAGGTGAGGTGGGGGTACTTTAGGATGACTTTTGGCATCAAATACAGTCTTCCTTGGCACAGAGAATGAGGCAGAACTAAAAGAAGCCTGGGAGATGAGGAGCTCTCACCCTCCATGCCCCCAACTGAGAAAAATAGAATAATCTGGAATCAGCTGGTTGAATCCACGCCTTCGTGGGAGTCATATCCCTGCCTTGGTATTGAAAGAGGGCCAAGATAGGTGAGAGCTGCCTTCCAGAAGGCCAAGGGAAGAAGAGAAACCAGGCTACCTCCGACATTCTGCTACCGGAAGTGACCTTCTGTTAACGGTAGCGATCTTCCGATACCGGAAGTGACCTTCTCTGACAGGAAGTGACCTTTCTTTACAGGAAGTGACCTTCTCTGACAGGAAGTTAGCCCAAACTTTCTCTCCAGGCCCTCGGAAGGCATAAGATGAACCCCGGAAGAAATGTGGCTCTGCAGTCCTACAGGCCAGACAATATGCTTGAAGATGTAATGTTTCTTCTCCTGAAAACAAGTACTAGAAAGCAGGTACAGCACCAGAGACCTGAAGGAAGAGCAGACTTCTCCCTTCAGAATGTGACAGACAATGACACTGGAAACTACAGCTGTGTCAACTACGAAAGGCTCCTTTCTTGGCCTCACACCCCAGTAACCGCCTTGAAATCCTGGTAACAGGTAAGGTTTTACATGATGTTAAGAAAGATTTATTTTAAGATTTTTATTTGACACAAAGAGAGACAGCAAGAGAGGGAACACAAGTAGGGGTAGTGGGAGAGGGAGAAGCAGGCCTCCCGCTGAGCAAGGAGCCTTATGTGGGGCTCCATCCCAGGACCCTGGGATCATGACCTGAGCTGGAGGCAGAGACTTAGGGACTGAGCCACCCAGGCGCCAGATTTTTTTTTTTAATCAGGGAGTGTTCTGTTAGTCTCTGATTCTCGTTTCTCTATCATGCCCATTATGTTCTTTTTATGTCTCTTGTAATTTCCATTTCTTTGCCTTTTCTATTTTGCATTCTTGAATGATTTCTCATGTCATTCTTTAAAATTACTAAGCTAGTCACCAGCAGAATTCCTTCTACTGTTGTCTGCAGCTATTACAATTTTGGTTTATCTTGGTATGAGTGACTTTCATTCTCGATGACTCTATCTTGTTCTCCAAATGTGGTGTTTCCCCAGCAGACTGCTTTTCTGTCATGGATGCAGTACATACTTGTATATCCTGGCCCATACTACTTGTTGCCTTCTAAAATTATCGTTTGTTTCAGGGCGCCTGGGTGGCTCAGTCAGTTAAGCATCTGCCTTCAGCTCAGGTCATGATCCTAGGGTCCCAGGATTGAGGCTGACATCGGACTCTCTGCTCAGTGGGGAGTCTGCCTCTCCCTCTCCATCTGCCCCTCCCCCAGCTCATGCTTTCTCTCTCTCTCTCTAATATATAAAATCTTTAAAAATAAATAAAATTATCTTTTGGGTCCTACTATAATTCTGCTTCCCTGGATGCTACACACTAATTTCTCAGTTTATAACTTCCTTTTTGTCTTACTGATTCTTCCCATAGTCAGTGAATATTTTATAATTAGAAATAAAGGTCTGTATGGTCAGTACTGAGAGGTGGAGGGGGCTTTCTAAAGTTGGTGGCATCATTACAAATTTCTCTCCATGGACCTTGCCTCAGGGAATACTGTTACTGCTGAATTTAGAGATGGAGTCTACAGTAAATGGGATGCATGGGGTGAGACATTCCCTGTTTATATGCAATAGCTATGCCCAGCTCTATTGAGAGGGATGACACATGCACAGGCTCCTCATTAGGAATCAGAGCCACTGCCAGTCTCAAGCTCTTCTTAGATGCAGCTGAAATACACCATGACCCAGATGCTTAGCTGCTGAATTCCAAAATTCCTGAGTTCACTCCCTGTATGAAATTGAGTTTTGTGCTCTGAGGAGGATACTGGGCCAGCTACTAGATTTCAGTACTCTGTTGATGCTGTAATAGGTTGATTTTTGCCCCCCAGAAGGTATGCTTGAGTCCTCCTAACTCCTGGTATGTGTGAATGTGATCTTATTTGGTAATAGCATTACTTGGTCTTTGCAGATAATCATTTAAGTTCACATGAAGTCATAGTGGATTAGGGAAGACTCTTACTCAATATGACTGGTGTCCATAAAAGATGAAGAGTAAAGACACAGAGACACACAGAAGAAAGACAGCTATGTGACAACAGAGGCAGAGATTCTGGAGTGATGCTGTCACAAGCCAAAGAAGGCTTGGAGCTTCCAGAAGCTGCAAGATGCAAAGAGAGAAGGATGAGAAGGATCTTTCCCTAGAGTCTTTGGAGAAAGTATTGCCCTGTCAACACCCTGACTTCAGACTTCTAACCTCCAGACTGTGAGATAATACATTTCTGTTATGTTAAGTCACCCAGTTTGTGGGACTTTGTTACAGCAGCCCTAGGAAACCACTAAAAGCCCTCTAAGTCTTTTTGTGTGCTCCTAAGACTAATTCCTAATCTATGGAGGGAGAAAGGAAGAGTGGGAAGGTGGAAATGAAATAAAGAGCAAATAAATGAAGAAACAGAGATGAGGCAGAGAGAATATAAAGAAAAGAAGGCAAAAGAAGGACCACTATAGCCCTCTTGAAAGCCTATATTTTCAATGAATAAAACTTCAGTGAAGATACAGGTAGGTGACCACGCCAGGAAACACAAGTGGGTGTGTGAGAGTCACAGCTGGTAGATTCATTTGAGAAGAAGGGATATCAGTGATGACCTCATTCTCTCTCTGTTTTCCCAGGTACCACATTGGGGGATTACACCAAGGTTAACCTCATCCGACTGGGTCTCGCTGCCATGTTTCTGATTATCACCAGGATTTTGCTGGCTGACGCCCGGCATAGCCAGAAGGAGTCTCCATGAGGATCCACATAAAGCATCTGAGTACTTATCTTTTTCATGGGCTTTTATAGTGATACAGGGTTCTTTAAGCACCAAACTGTATCATGGAGATTTCCTGTTTCTCAGTAGGAGGGCCAGTGGCCTTTAGGTGGGATACTTCTTTACCATGTGTGACTGTCCTATTGATTATAGAAACACTTAGCATCTATTTTCCCTCCCCACTAAACACCAGCTAAAATCCACAATAAGTGTGGAAGAAGAAAAAAGGCAAGTACTACTGTATTTTCTCAGACATCCCTAGATATAGACAATGGGGAGCAGGGTGTTCCCCTGGTGGAGAACCTGTGTTTGGAGGCCAGGAGAAATAACATTCTTTCTCTTCCTTCCTCCCCTGATCTCTCTCTCTGTCCTCTACCTACAGGCCCCACAGCTGTCCAGGGGAATGATGGGTTTTGATCAGGTTAGACCCACTGACCCTGAACAGTTTCCAGTGGATCGTGCATTCTCACCTCTGCTGAGAGCCACTCCAGGACAACATGATGGTTTCCTCTTCTGTACTCCTCACTTGGGGCAGAGGACAGGCCTGGGCATAAAGATTAATCCAAAAGAATATTAATTTATGTAACACAGAACATCTTCTCCCTACTGTTTTGATGTACCATTTCTGTCATAAAGCAAACTTCTATAAGTATATAGATCTGTTTCTGGGATCATTATTTATTTGGTCAATGTGGCTTTACTGTGCATTTTCCTGACAGCTAATGTTGTTGAGCATCTTCTCATGTACTACTGGATATATGTATATATTCCCACTGAAGTATCTGATGAAGGATTTTGCCCATTTTTTAAGCAGACTCCAGGCCCAGCATGGAGTGCAACCTGGGGCTTGGACTCATGACCCTGAGATCAAGATCTGAGCTGAGATCAAGAGTCGGACACTTAACCGACTGAGCCACCCAAGCACCCCGACTCTGCCCATTTTTAAATTGGGTTGTTAATCTTCTTGATTTTGAGTTGTAAGAATATATATATAATCTGGGCACAAGTCCATTATTAACAGACATGTACTGCAAATATTTACCTCAGTCTGTTACTCCTCTCTGCACTTTTAAATGAAATTTTGCATCTTTTTAAAAGCCAAAGTTTTGAATTTTCATGAAGTCTATAAATTATGAAAGTTTTTCTTTTACAGCTAGAGCTCTTGTATTCTATCTAGGAAATTTCTGCTACACATAGATTGTGAATCCTTGTTTTCTTCTGTAGGTATGATAGTATTACCCCTTACATTTAGGTCTATTATCTTTTCAAAATTTATAGAGATGGTATCACGTAAGAGTCAAGGTTCATTCTTTTAACAAACAGATTAACCCAGTTGTTCCTGTACCATCTCTTGAAAGGGTTATTCTTTTTCCACTGAATTATTTTGGCATTTTTGTTTAAAAACCAGTTTACCAGGGGGTGCCTGGGTGGCTCAGTCGTTAAGCGTCTGCCTTCGGCTCAGGTCATGGTCCCAGGGTCCTGGGATCAAGCCCCACATCGGGCTCCCTGCTCGGCAGGAAGCCTGCTTCTCCCTCTCCCACTCCCCCTGCTTGTGTTCCCTCTCTCACTGTGTCTCTCTCTGTCAAATAAATAAAAAATAAAAAAATAAGAAATAAATAAAAACCAGTTTACCATAGATTAACTAGTTGCTTTCTGAACTCTGTTGGTCCACTGATCCATTTTTCTATACTTCTGCCTATACCACACTATATTGATGATTGTAGTTTTTTTAAGTCTCGAAAACAGAGGCTGTTGGCATATCAGGTTTTTAAATTATTCTGGCAATTCTAGATCTTTTATATTTTTTAAAGATTTTATTTATTTATTTATTTATTTGAGAGAGAGAAACAGCATGAGAGGGGAGAGGGTCAGAGGGAGAAGCAGGCTCCCTGCTGAGCCAGGAGCCCGATGTGGGACTCGATCCCAGGACCCTGGGATCATGACCTGAGCCAAAGGCAGTTGCTTAACCAACTGAGCCACCCAGGCGCCCCAGTTCTAGATCTTTTTAAATTTCCATATACATTTTAGCATCAACTTGTCAATTTCTACCAAAGGCTACTGGGATCCTGATTGGCCTTGTGTTTACACTATATATCAACTCAGAGAGAATAGATATCTTAATAATATTGAGTGTTCTGATCCAGGGGCACAGTTTATATCTTTATTTAGACTTCTCTCGTTTCTCTCATCAGTGTTTTGCCTTTTTCAACATACAGGACTGACATATGTCAACTAAATTTTATCCTTAGGTTTTTCATGTTCATTTACATGATGTAAATGATACTGCCTCCCGAATTATCACTTGCAGTGGTTCCCTGCATGTGCATATAAGTACAGTTATTTTGTTGTTACTGAGACATCCTGCTACCTTGCCAAGCTCAGATATTATTTAACTTTTTGTAGATTCCTTAGAAATTTTTACATAGTCCATCATATTCTCTGTGACTAGAGACAGTTTTACTTCTTCCACTTCTAATCTGTATACTATTTTTTTTTAGCCTAATTTCTCTAGATAGAATATTCAGAATGCTGTTGAGGAAATTAGTGACCTTGCCTTCTACGTGATCTTACAGTGAAAGCATTCAGTTGTTCACCATTAAATATGCTATTACTCATAGGTTTTTCACAGATGTCCTTTATACATCGAAGGAAGTTCCCTTCTATGTTCCTGGTTTGCTGAAACCTCACACCTTATAAAAATGAAATCAAAATGGATTAAAGATTTGAATTTAAGATGTAATATTAGAAAACCTTTGAAAGAGGGGCGCCTGGGTGGTTCATTTGTTAAGCCTGCCTTCGGCTCAGGTCATGATTCCAGCATCATGGGATGGGAAGGACAGCCTGCTTCTCCCTCTCTAGCTCCCCCATGCTTCTCCCTCTCTAGCTCCCCCATGCTTCTCCCTCTCCAGCTCCCCCCTGCTTGTTTCCTCTCTCGCTGTCTCTCTCTGTCAAATAAATAAAAACTTAAAAAAAAATTTTTGAAAGCAAACATAGCAGAAAATCATCAGGATCAAGGCCTTGGTGAAGTTATTAGACACGACACCAAAGCATGACCCATTCCAGAAAAATGCATTAAGTTAGATTTAATCAAAATTAAGAGCTACCACTCTGCAGAAGACGCAAAAGGGGATCAGAAGACAAGCTACAGTCTGGGAGAAAATATTTGCAAATCCTGTATTTGACAAAGGCCTTCTATCTAGAATAAATCAAGAACTCTCAAATATCAACAATAAAGAATTTTTTTTTTTTAATTGGGGAGTTGGTTAATGGAGACAGAGTTTCAGTTCTGCAAGAAGAGAGCCCTGGAGGTAGATGGTGGTGGGGGTTGCACAACAGTGTGAACGTACCTAATACTGCTGAACTGTACACTTCCAAATGGTCAAGGTACTAAATTTTACATTATGTGTGCTTTACCACAATAAAAATATTGGAAAAAAATTAGAGAACGGCAAGGCGCCTGGCTGGCTCAGTTGGTAGAGCATGGGATTCCTTTTTTTTTTTTTTCCAAGCTTTTATTTAAATTCTAGTTAGTTGACATATAGTGTAATATTGGTTTCAGGAGAATTCAGTGATTCATCACTTACATACAACACCCAGTGCTCATCATAGCAAGCGCCCTCCCTAACACCCACAACCTGTTTAGCCCACCCCCCACCCACTTCCTTCCGTCAACCCTCAGTTTGTTCTCTATAGTTAAAGAGTCTATTGTGGTTTGCGTCCCTCTCTTTTTCCCCCATGTCCGCTATGTTCATCTGCTTTGCTTCCTAAATTCCACATCAGAGTGAAATCATATGGTATTTGTCTTTCTCTGACTTATTTCACTTAGAATATACTCTAGTAGAACATGCAATTCTTGATCTCAGGGTTGAGTTCAAGTCCCACATTGGGTGTAGAGATTACTTAAAAATAAAATCTTTTAAAAAATCAGAGAGTGGGTGGGGTGCCTGGGTGGCTCAGTCAGTTAAGCGTCTGCTTTCGGCTCAGGTCATGATCCCAGGGTCCTGGGATCGAGCCCCACATCTGGCTCCTGGCTCAGCGGGGAGCCTGCTTCTCCCTCTCCCTCTGCCTCTCCCTGCTCATGCTCTCTCTTTCTCTGTATCTGTCTCAAATGAATAAATAAAATCTTAAAAAAAAAATTAGAGAGTGGGCAAAAGCCATAAACAGTCATTTCCTCAAAGAGATTATATGATGGTAAATAAGAACATAAATGTGTGTTCAACATCACTAGCCATTAGGAAAATTCCAATTAAGACCACAACTTAAGGAACATATCAATAAGAACATCTAAATTAAGAATAATGACAATATCAAATGTGGGAAGATGCAGAGAAAGTGGGTTTCTCATACGATGCTTCTGGGAGCTTACATGGTATAGTCGCTCTGCAAATTAGTTTGGTAGTTTTGGTTTTTTTAAATTTATTTTTAATTTTTTTTAAAGATTTTATTTATTTGACAGAGAGAGAGACACAGTGAGAGAGGGAACACAAGCAGGGGGAGTGGGGGAGGGAGAAGCAGGTTTCTTGCTGAGCAGGGAGCCTGATGCGGGGCTTGATCCCAGGACCCTGGGATCATGACCTGAGCCGAAGGCAGATGCTTAACGACTGAGCCACCCGGGCACCCCTGTTTTTGTTGTTTTTTTTTTTTTTGATAAAACTAAATGTGTACTCACCATATGACCCAGAAATCTCAATCTTGGGCATTTATCCCACAGAAATGGAATTATATATCCACAAAATCTTGTACATAGTGTTTGTATCAACTTTATTTGCAATAGCCAAAACCATGGAATATCAACAATGTCTGCAGGTGAATAGTTAAACTCATACACCCACATGGGCTACTGCTTAGGAATAAAAATTAACAAATTACTGAGATTCAGACATACAATTTGGATGGGTATCAAGGGCATTTTCTTAGTGAAAAAAACCCAATCTCAAAAACTCACAGGCTGTCTGATCCCATTAATGTAGACCACTCTTCTTCAACACAAAAGATTTTCATTCATGTGGAATTAGTGCCCAGACATGGTCAAATTCATGAATTCAAGCCTCAACTCACAGAGAAGGACCCCAAACCCCCAAGATCTGAAGGATATGACGGAGGTTGGTGTTGAGCCTATCAGGAATTCTTTGGTTAATCAAAAATTTGCTGGATATTGGTAATGGAATGATGTAATCAATGTTAGTGACTGTATTCATCTCCTCACCTGCTGTAACAAAGTACCACAAACTGGGTGGCTCTCAACAATAAACATTTATTCTCTTGCAGTCTGGAGGCTAGAAGTCTGAAATCAAGGTAATGGAAAAGCCATGTTCTCTCTGAGGGCTCTAGGGGGAGATCTGCTCCTTGCCTTTCTCTTAGTTTCTAGCCTTGCTACATCTTTGGCATGCTTGCCTTTCACAGTGATCACTCCACTCTCTGCCTCTCTGGTCACCTGGTCTACTCCCTCTGTGTCTCTTCTCTTTTCATGAGGACACCAGTGATACTGAATTTGGACACACCCTAATGTCCTCATCTGAAAAAGTATACATTTGCAAAGACCCT